GGATGGGTATAATATGAGCATGTGTGTGTGAAGATGTGCTTGCCAATGTCTATGTGTGCTCAGGAGGAAGTCAGAGAAAGACATCAAGTATCCTCCTCCATTGCTCCCACCATATTTTTTGAGACAAGGACTCCCATTGAACCTGAGCTTGCCATTTCTGCTAGACTGTCTGATCAGTGAGTCTGTCTCTGACACTCGCTGCTCCATTCTGGCTCTGGGGATGTAGCCCTGACCAATTTTTATGTGAGTGACACAGGGAGCTAGAACTAAGACTTGTCCTCAAACTTCTGTGTGTTTTCTACCATTTTAACCACTCTCAGGAGAATCACTAAGGCATCCTCATAGAACCATCTTAATCCCTCTCCTAGGCTCCACCTCAGTGACCCAAAGACCTTCCCCTGGACCTCACCTATTAATAAAATAAAATAAAATAAAAAAACAAAAACTTCCCCATCAGCCACATGAAGCCACCTTTGGGACTAAGGTGGTGGGACCTTTGGTGACGGTAGTGGGAATTCCAACCATTTTTAAATCCTAGAAGATGAAAAGGAAGGGGCTTATAGAGTCAGAAGTCCAAATTTAGCCCTGTGATCACACAAGACAAGAAGAAATCAGGTCATGTTTTCAGAGAAAACCATCACATCACCGCTTAATCACAGAAGGGTGGATTGTTTGTACATGAGTGTAGACAGATTGGGATTTGGGAAGGTCTGCAGGGTAGGCATGTGATGGCCAGCTGAGTTGGAAGGACATCCCAGCCTTCATGTTTGTGGACATGACCCTAGCTTCCTCTCTCCTAAGCAGACAACTCTGGATAATTAGCAAATCAAAAGAAACAGAAACAATCTTAGACCTCAGCACAATTGAATTAGTGGAGTGATTTGAGGGTGTCATTTCACACAGTGTAATCATACTCTCTTTGTTGTGGTCAAAAGGAGCGAAAATTATCCTGCAACCCCAAAGTGTTCTCTGTAACCAACCGGCTCAAAGGACGGCTTCATTTCCTATCAGCTCTCTTCAATTTTAGATGATGGCTTTTGATGAAGACAGGAATGCACAATGCACAATTAAGCAATATCCATCAAGCCTCCCCTACGAGGAGGACCTTTTAAAAATACATTTGACTTTTAAGGTGATTCAGCACAGAGAGCCATTAGCACACCATCTAAATCAGGACCCGGAAAGTTTATTAAAATTGGATTTTTAACCTGATCCCAATTTCTACTGCTTGTAAGGAATCCCATCGGACTCCTTAAAATTCAGGCTATTAACCTGAAAGACTCAAACATCCATTATTCGAAGAGAGGATACAGGGCAGCCCTGTAGGCAGGGATTGTAGGCAAGATCCCTCTGAGTGTGGTCAGGTAGTGAGTGTGAACTTTTGGCATCCTCAGAAGAAGCAGGCTACCTCCTTTCCTCCTCTCCCATGCTCCTCTCCTCCTGACCTTCTCCTCACCCATCACATATCTAAAAGACATGGAAAGTCTACCAGTAAGAAACTTAAGCAAGTTATTCAGTTGTTGAGAGCACTGGACTATGAGTCTACTTTTAACTCTAGATTAATCACTTTACCTGATGCACTAACTCTCAATTGCAAAGCAGAGAAGGGTTAATGATCCCTGGAAATAGTTAAGAGAAACTTATTTGTGTGTCACTTTAAACAGGTTAACAGGTTCCTTTCTGTGCAGACTAAGTTATCCTATTGGTAAAGTGGGGAACTTTTTGTTTCTGATCAGGTTGATGTTAGAACAGCAGATGCATGTTGGGTAGAGGGCTCGGAAAGTGAAGTGTTTGCCTGCAAGTGTAAGGATCTAAGTTTGGAATCCCAGTGCATCTGTGACTCGAGTACTGAGAGTAGGAGGAGAAAGGCAGGGCCTTTGGTTGTGGGGGAGGGTAGACACCAGCAAGCATCGGTATAGGTAATTTCCAGGTTTAGTGAGAGAGCCTGTCTCAAAAACTAAGGTGTTAAGATATAGAAAAGGCATCCAATCCAATCAACCTTTGGCCTTCATATATACTACAAGTATACCTACATATCACACTCACACACACACACACACACACACACACACACACGCACTGAACATTTGCGGTGAGCATAATTCATTTTGCCTAGCATCTGGCTCAAGTCTCGACTCTATCTTAAATACTATTATTGCAGATATTTTATCAAAGTCTTAGGTCACCAGCTTGTTTTTCCTTCTTATGGCTTTAGCTTTGATCTGTGCACAGAGTTTACAGTTTAGCCAGGACGAATGAGTATCCACAAAGGTGGCTTGTGCTTATAAACCTTACTGTTCCTTGAGCCAATGACATCTTAATGTTCCATTTCTGTCTCATATCAACATTCCAGAAACTGTTACAATAACTTAAATACACTCCAGTTTCCTAGTGGGTGGGACTGACTTGGATCATAGAACAATGAGAGACAGTTGGTTTTCTGGTTGGTTACTGGCATGTCTCTTATGTGCCTCAACTCTCACATCCAAACTAGTCTGGACCAAATCAAACCACCCTTAAAATAACAAATAAATAAACTTAAAAATTATTTTCATTTTCCATTTTAGGTGTGTTTGTGTGTGTGTGTATGCGCGCACACACTTGTGCATGTGCTCCTATGTGCACACTTGTGTGTGAGGCAGGGTCTATCAGGCTAGAAGAGGGTGTTGGAATCACTGAAACTGAAGTTACAGGTAATTTGAGCCCTCTGTCCTAGGCACAGAGCTTTGGTCCTCTGCTGAAAGATGCTGACTCTTGAATAGTAAGCTGTGCCTCCAGCCCCTACAGACTGTTACTATGTTTTCGTTTGTGTGTTTGTTGTGGGTTTTGTTGATGTTGCTATTTGGGGTTTGTTTGTTTTGTTTTTGGCTGCTTTTCTTTTTTACTCCTTAGGTTATATGTCAGACAATCTACAAAAGGCTGGTAAGGGATAATTATGTCATGGTTGCTCATGCCCAAGACTCTTCTAATCAACTGGAGAAGACAGATGCAAAAGCAGTTCTGGTCAATCCAGTACAGGGGTAATACAACAAAGCCGGGTTCTACGCTGGGTAAGCAGAAGCCAGGCCCAGAAGACATCTGGAAAGGACTCAAAGTCTAAGCACACATAGCCAAAGAACAACACAAAAGCCCATTGGTGCTGTTATTTACTTAAGTGTAAGAACATTACTTATTGATCAGGAATTGTTTAAGAAAGTTGAGGTAGAGGGACAACTGTAAGCCCTGAACTCCAATTCTTATCACTTGCAGACCTGCCTGGAGTCACTTCTGTAGAGTGAGGTGACTAACAGAGACTCTGAACCCAGGGCAGGGATTTTAGTTTCTTTTGAGGTAGGTAATTAAGAAAGCTGGTTAATTGGCCTCTGACTTCCATGATGTGCATAGAAGAATCCTTGCTAACCTCCCTTTGTGTCTCATAGATGACTTGTGGAATTCATACTGTGTGTCAGGCATTTACAGGGAAAGTAACCTTAACCAAGTTATGGCATCAACACCCGTGCCTGTATTGAAGGACTCCTGATCTTCACTGGGCTGGGTGTCTGGTAGAAGCTTAAGGAGACCTTACTTGATATTTGGCCACCCTTTAATCTTAGCTCTCCATTTGTACTGGACAGTCATTTACAGAATTTTACACAACTAATAGAATGGTAGAAAAATCTAATATAAAGTTTACATGCTAAGACTTTACAAGATGCAGATTTAAAGGGACTTTTGTAAGAAAAACTTTTTTTTAAAAAACCTGAAACGGCCATGCCAACTTTACATTCACTCAAAGGTGAAGTGGTCTAACATCTCCAAGATACTTCTAGTTTTATCTGCTGCATTATACTGTACAGGCATTCCTTTGCCTTCTAAAAGGACCGAGGCTAACCTTTGCACTATTTAAGTAGTCAATTTCCCAAAGGAATTTTCCCCCTTAAATGAGAGAATATTGATTCTAGAAATGCAAATGATAAACATTTATGTTCTCATTTTTAAGATATTAAAAGCTAAAGGAAGTTGTTTTGATTTGTATTTGGCTCCTTCTTTCTTCTTCCTTTCACGCCCCCCCCCGCACCCCCGCCTCTCTTTTCTTTTGGTAACCTGCTTTGGAAGGCTACTTGCTTGGGCTGAAGCAGCTCAGTGTCTCCAAGGAGATTCCAGCTCCGCTGCCCGCCACTTCTTAAATTGAATCACAATATGTAAGTTGGCTTCCACACAAAACCTCTCAGCTTTGGGACGCAGGAAGACCTTGATTAATTTCAGAGGTGAAATCTGCCAACCTAGTTAAGTTCCAATCCAACCGAAGGTGAGAGACAGGGTATTTCATGGAAACACCGCACACTAGGAAGCTAGCTCTTCAAGCGGCTCCTGTCCCCACTGCAGAGCAAGATGGAGCGAAGGGCTCCGGAGATCTCCGGGTCCGCGCACTGAGCCCAGGAGTCTAAGGCGGGTCACCTGTTCGGTAGGGAACGCTGATGCGAACACACGTGGGTACTGCGAGGATATTGGGGAACACGCGGATTTGCAAAAGGGGTAAGGAAGGGATGGACCCCGTTCAGACCCAGCGGGTGTCAGAGAACGCTGTGGGAGTCCAGGATTTCCAAGGTTGAAGTCACCCAAGCCACACTCCCCACCCTCTAGGCTGCGCTGGTCTCTCCTTTTAGATTGAAGTCCGAGGAGCCCCCACCCACCCAAGGAGATGGCTTCTGCGTACCCAGAAGCTCAGAAGCCGGGTGCTAAGCTGGGTGGCTGAAGTCGGCTCGCAGGGACGCACTGGGAGGCGGGACTCGGGGCAGCACCAGAGCCAACGAGGCAGCAGTGGGCGCTCGCGATCCTCTTCTGCCCTCGGTGCTCTCCCCGAGCGTCGGCCTCTGCTGTCCCCTCCTCCGGTTTCTGCTCCTCCTCCTGCTCCTCCCATCCTCGGATCCGGCACCAAAACGCCTGTCTGCAAGATCCTCTGTGCGCTGCAGCCACGAGCTGCCGCCACCGCCGGGTCTCTTTCGGTGAGTGCCTGTCCCTTCTCCGCTCGCCTGCCCGGAGGTGACTGGGGATTTGCTCCAAGTGGCTCAAGTGTTTGGAGGCGGTGCTGCCCATGGCCCGGCCGGAGAGACGTTTGAGGACGCCTGACCGGCTGGACGAGTACACGTCTCAGGTGAGCACTGTGCGCTAGCGGTAGAGGTGTCAGGCTGGGGAGTGGCCAGATAGGGCTGCCTAGGCACCTTCTGGTGTCCCGATTTAGGGCAAGTGCAAAGTCTAAGGTGAGTGGAGGCTGAAGCTGTTAGACTGAAGAGTACTCTGAAGGAAGACTTGGGCTTTTCTAATCCTCCTGTCCCCCCTGCCCTGAAAACTCATCTCTAAAATTCATAAGATGGACTATAAGGGACCTGAGTTTCTGACTTACAAAACTGGACTTACGTCCCTACGCGAATCAGGAGAGCCGTGGCTGCCCGCTGCTCAGCGCCGCGGATTCTCTCTAGGACCTTGTACAAGTTCAGCTAGAGCTCAGAGCTTCCGAGCCGGGTACCACTTGGGGATGAGAACTGGGCAGGAGGGGGGAGAGGGGAGGGACAGCTGACTGGAGTCACTCCGGAATAGGGCATCTGGAATGAGCAAACCTTGGTCTAGTTTGCCTTTGCGTTCGGTAGCTGTAATGGGGAGACCCAGCATCTCCCGAGGTATTCGAAGAGGAAGGCGGCAGGCAGGACTGTAAGTATTAAAAAAGCCGGTTACGAAAGGCTGTTGAATTTTCGTGTTACTTTTTACTTTTTTTCCTACCTGGGTTTCTATTTCGGATATGGCCAATAGGGGAGGTGGATGGGGGCATGGTAAGGGATGTCGGGACACGAACCAGGGGAGACTGTGTTTTGAAGGAGCAGGGCTTACTCATAGCGGGACTTCTTCAGGTGCGACCCCCACACCAGCCTTTGCAGCAGTGGGCTCCACTGCTTCCCCCTTCTGGAACCTACCTTTCCGGGAACTGGAGTGCCAGCTCTCAGAACCTGGGGCTCAAGGCAGAGATGGGATGGAGAAACCATCGCTGAAGCCAGATGCTGGTCAGGGATTGGTGCGTTGTGCCAGACTCAGCAATTATTTTTGGGTGCTTCAGATTATGTATGGCACAACCTAAGCTAAGGAGGCACCCTATCTTCTTTGCACAGGCAGGGCTCCCCTCCGGACTAGGTGCTTTTCTCTAATCCCCACTATGCAGAAGCTGTGGTATCCTTGCTTTGCCTTCCCTTGCGCGAGACTTACTCCTCCTCTTGCCTAGCGTTATGATATCCTGGGCTATTTTTATCCATAACTATGCTAAGATGCTTTGGGGGATCCCAAGGAGGCAGCTATGGAGCCACTGTCTCCAAGCTGCTCTCCCAGCAGCAGTCTCTTGTTAGCCAGGACCTAGGGTGAGGAGAGCAAAGAGTGGACTAGGGAGGAGAGGGTGCCCCCACCCCGTTTCAGGACGAGTTCACCATGCTCGGGAAAGCTCCACCAGCACCCAAGACTGACCTAGGCCCAGGTACCACCAGCACCCCCGGGGAGTCTCCTTTTGCCCCAGCCCTGGGTATTTGACCAGCTGCTGAATAGAGAGCAAAGTCTTGTGGTCTCTGCTTTGCCCTCAGATTTCCATGTGTTAGTTGAAATTCAATTACCAGCTTCCACCCAGGGGTTAATTCCAGGAACTCTATATTTAACTTTAGTTTTTAATAAAAGGAGATGGAGATAGCTCAACTTCTGTACCCGCGCCCCAGCATATCTAAAGTACTGATTCCTTTTGACGCTTGCTACTTTCCCGGTCACAGTGAGTACAGTTAGAATTAACTGGACCTTCCAAAATTCCAGATGAATGCTTAAGCTTCAAATCGCTGCCCCTTTCTTCTTTATTTCCAGCATGCTTAGACTTTCCCATTCCCAAAACTGGAAAAATAACATTGAAATGGACCCTTGTGTTATGCAAGGTAAAAGCCCCCCCCAATACCACCCCTCTTCACAGTCAGGTATGAGAAGGTGAACTTTTCAAGGAGTCCCCATTGGCATCAGTTACCCGTCTAATTCTTGTTCGACAGGGATGGACAACTTCCTGACTAAGCACTCTTGAGTCTCTGCAGTTAATTAGCCAGCAGTCAGAGAAGATGTCTTAGTGAGCAGGGCTGAGCTATGTAGGCTTCTGGGCTTCACTTCCTCTGTCAAGCCTCTGCGTATTGCAATGCACCTTGACTTTAAGATGAGAAGTTTTGAACAGGGAAAATGGTGAGAAAGTGATGCCTTGGACACATTGAGGGAGGGCCCTTACTCCTGGCATGGGAGCAGAGACTCTATCCCTGTAGTAAATTATTGTCTTCCTACACCTTGTTAAACAGAGTGAGTTTTGCCTTGCTCAAACTCCTTTATGTAGCTGAGACTTGTGTTTTCATCCTCAAAAGAATTTCTCTGCCTTGAAAAGTCCTAGGGATTCTCTAAAGGGAAAAGCTTCACGGGAGCTTTTCTTGTCTTAAGTTAAAATTCAGTGGCGATTTGAAAGCAACTGGGAATGGATTGGCTGGTATGTGCTGTTTATTGAGTTCTGCCTTTCTGAGACCAAGCATACACCCTGGGTGGCACACAGCCACCAGCAGGACCAAGACAGGGTCTCTCCTAGGTCATTAGGTTTGGAGGCAGGGACAGTGAAATATGTGGAAGCGTTAATGGGTTTTAATGTGTGCCTGTCATGTCTAGATACCAGTTCCAGGGCCCCGAGCTGACTGCTTTGTGACAAGTATACTGGCTTCCTAGATGTTGAAGAAGGTAGGGACTTTGCAGATGAGATTAGAAAAGAACAACGCTGCTGTTCCTTAGTCCCTAGCCTGGGCACAGAGCCCTCTGCTTTTCTGTCCAGGCTGCCTTTCTGGAAAGAGAAAGTAAGAGACTACCAGCTGGGATGAAGCCAACTTCTGACCCCATGACCTTAGGCGGATTGTGTTCTTTCTCTAAACCTCATAGTCTTTCCTGCAGATTAGTGACTGGAGGATGATTAAGAGTAAGTAACAAAATGCACATAAAAGACACTTCACCAACTATAATACATGTGAAATTTTGTTTATCTGATTTGGTTTTCTGACATTTATATTTTATAGATACTTAATGTTCATGTTAGTTGTAATAAGTTTCATCTTAAGTGCATTCTACATGAATTACATCAGCACTGAGCCCCACTGTTTCTAAGAATTATAATTTTAATTTTCAGGATCAGTATTCAGTTTTAGAGTTGTTTTTCTTCATCTTTTTTTGAGACAGTCATGTCTCCTGGGATGACCTCAAACTTGCTATGTAACCAAAGATGACCTTGAACATCACCTGGCCCTCTTGCTCCCAATTCCATGTGCTGGGATTATAGACATGAACTATAGCCTCAAGTCATTGTAGTGCTGGACTTCAAACCAGTGTGCTACTCAACAGCTCTACCAGCTGATCTACCTCCCTTGTCCTTTAAAGGCTTTTTGCTGTAGTTTTGCTTTTAAGTTCAGAACGTACACGTGTCTTAGGAGATATATTTGGGGGGAGATACTTAATATTGCTTAATCAAAAGCAGAGAAAAATTAAAGAACAATGACTCAGCTGGGGGAGAGTGAGGCATGACCAGTTTTGTAGGTCTCCCTTGTCTAACTTGGTCATCTATACAGACTTCTTTTTTTCTTTCTTTTTCATTTTTTTTCTTCTGGAATTTGTCCCCAGAGCCTAGTTCAGTAACAAGCACTTAATAGGCAGTCCATAAATGTGTTTGGAAAAATGAATGAATGATTGAACGGAATCTTCGCAGCTATTCAGGAGAGCAGATGGCACCATTTCTATTTTAACAATTGAGAATCTGCAGATTAGGAAATGTTGTCAGTTTTCTAAAGGTACAGAGGATTCCAGAATGGAATTCAGATCTATGTGTTCTCATTACAGTCTTCAGTACTGCTTTGGGTGACTATCCCTCTATCACCACTCAAAGCCCTACTACGTGACTGGAAGATATCCAGCAACCAAATTATCTTCTATAGAGAATCTCACTGTCTTGCTTCAGAGATATGCTCCCAGCTGGAGGTGGAGTTTCTTTTCCTAGTTTGTACCTTGCAGGCTTGAACTCAAGCTGAGTTAAATGGCCCCACCAGGGGATTGGAATCTGGAGGGAGCAGCTTAAGGACACAGGAACTGCTGAGTGTTTATCACCCACTGGGGTCATGGATGGAGTGGCTGGCGTCAGCAGCAGCAGCATCCGCGTCTCAAGATGTGCTCCCAGTGGAACCATTCCTGGGGCACCATCTTGACATGATCCCTGAAGTCTGTTTCCCTTCATTCCTTCTCGTTTTCCAATCCTGGATTTTTAGCATCGCACTAGTTCCTAGAGGCAACACATAGTCTTCAAACAAATCCCCCTTTGTGTCTGAGTCAAGCAGCATTGTAAGCAGCTGATGCACACAGCCTCTACGATCCATCTTCAGGACTGCCTCTGGCATGCAGCCTTCTCAGCTCCCTCCACCCACAGGGAATTAAGTCCATAGCTTTTGCAGGCCGTTAGAATAATATTTACTGGGCCATAGTCTGTCAATAGTTATGTGCTACCAGGAGAGGACTAGAAAAAAAATGAATACATTATTCTTCCAAGGAATGGCTTAAACATAACAAAAATAGATCCCAAAGGACATTTTTTTTCTATTTTTTTTTCTCCTGCATACGGCCTGCTTTTTGGTAGCCTTCCAGCAGGGGTCGCAATGGCAATGCCTTCAGCTGCTAGGCAAGGAAGGATCAGCCTGGGTAGAACAGAAGTATGGACTTAGAGCTCAGATCCAACTTTGTTCCCAATGAAACCCGAGGCCTAACCTTGCCAGTTTTATTTACTGTTTAAGATAAATTGCAGGTTCTTGTTTTCCATGAAATTTACTGACATCAGGTTCTAGCAGCTAACTCAACATGTCTAAACAGTACATGTGGGCTCTATGGAGCATTTTTCTATAAAGGGACCTTGGAGCTCTCCCACATGCCTGCAGTATGTGGCTGCTGGTGCCTGGAATTTGACTCTGAAGATCTTGTATGATCAGAGATCACTACAAGAGTGTGAAAAAGGGGATATAGACTGCTGTAATCACTCCCTTCCATGTATGTAGACTGCTGTAATCACCTACTTTCCATGTATGT